ATCTACATGCATTGCTAACTTTTACCCTATTATGATGAGCCTTTTTTGGGAGACCTGCAGCTTGATGAAGCAGAGAAGAGATTAGAGGATACCCAAACTAAATTAGTTCGTCTTCGAGGATGGAGTGAAGAAAAATCTTCTAAAAATTCATCTAATGGTAGAGACGAGGTTAAATTTGAAAGAAAAGCTCAAAGCCCTTCTCAGAAACAGTCTCTGCCTCATCTTCAGGATGCTCTGAAGAAGCCCTCTGTAGATAATCCGGACCGTGGAAATTATTCCAAAAACCAAATCCAGCCTAAGCTACCACTAGTGATTCCCACAGTTAAGGCAATGGAACCAGGAAAAAAAACGTGTGGTGTATCTGGTTCTGGTCAACCATCGACTTCATCAGCACTTACTAATGCAAATAGTGTCACAAAGTTGAAGGGTGAAAAAACTCGTAAAACATCAGCGGAGCAGGAAGACATGGAAATTCAACCTAAAGGGACAAAAAGGAAAATTGGTTTGTCTATTTGCATGATACTTTTTTATATTTTAGATTTTCTGATTCTGGGATGTAATGCTATTGGTATCAAATTGGTACTAGTAACTGGTGTGGATGGCATCTGGATACATTGCGTGATATCTAATGTTGGATCATTATTATTTTAATTCACATTGTAACTTTTTAATTACAGAGCAGAAAGAACATGTAGATTTGATTCCATTGGTTGCAAAAAAGTCTTCACCAGTCACAATTCGCTGTCATGGTGGCCCTCTGTTATCCAGTCAACACAAAAGAAAGCTTCGGAGTCTTGCTTTATGTCCAACAAATGATCAGTTATTCGTGACCAGGTAAATTGTTCTTCTGTGTTTTTTGTGAGAACTAATTAGAAGTCTAGAATATGAAATTACTTGTACAATATCAAGGTAATGTTTTGACTTATTTTCCTATTGCAAGTAACCAGCTAGCCATTGTGACTACAGCATATGATTATATATATGATATGGATATATCAATATCTTATCTTATTAGTGAATCATTTGGAAATTGAATCAAAGTATTGTACCACTAATTATTTGTTATCCCTGCATATCTTCTTATTCCTCAACCAATGGTGTGTTCACATTAGTAAGGGTCATATCACTATTCATTAGCACAAGACCAAGTACTGTGAGTTAAGTTATTTTTGTGAAGTAAGTTTATTCCTCCCTATATATTAATTCAAAACGTGTCGAGCCTAGGTGGCAGATTCTCACGCTTCGGATGCTGACATGGCGAAAATCTATGCTTCGTGATGTTGTTTTTATATTATTTTTGCTATGGAGTTAGGTTTGGTATTAAACATAAATAACTTTACACATATATTCATTAACTCAACACCCATGTGTACACGGGTATTAGTACTAGTTATGATTTATTAAATAACGTGGATCGTCCTGTTGGCAGTTCAACTTGACGTAAGTGTTGTTTAGGTTAAGTTTTTTTTAGAGATCTATTCTGAAATCACTGCATCATGTACTATTGAATTAAAAAAATGAAAAAAGTACTTTTTTTTTTCAAGGTGAAAATAATATATTCAATTTGTTTATCTAATGTCTGCTTTTAGAATGTACTTTCCTCTGAAAGTTCTAATACGTTTGTGCTCACTCTTTTGCCTGAATTAGGTGCATGTCATAGCAATTAAAATTGGTTTTAGGTTAACATGGAACTTATGGATCGTGTACTTCAATTTTTATGGCTTAGAAACCAGCACCTCTTAGGTACACATTGGAGTAATTATTTTGAACATGTCTTGCTTTGTGAACTCTTGATGGATTGCATACAACATATACTTTACTTCACGTCAACTTAATGTTAGAAATTATTTTTTCACATTTATAACTATTCTTGCAGCGCGTTGGATGGAATGGTCAACCTATGGCAACTTCAGGGACGAGGGTAACTAACTTGTGTTAGAAACTCACTTGCATGATCCATCATTATACTTTCCATTCAGTATTTAAAATAGATTTATTAATATTTTTTAAGCACATCTACGGTCTACTCATTTCATTCACCTAGTAATATAAGTTTTTCACTTTGGACGTCTTTTCTCATTACATAAAGTGCAGTTCTTGTGCCGATCTTCTAAGTAGTACTGATTGTCAATCTGACAAGCAGAGGAGATGGCCAGAAGATATTGCTTGGCATCCTCATGGAAACAAAGTTTTCTCGGTTTATAGCGCGGATGGTGGGGATTCTCAGATATCAATATTGAACCTAAATAAAGGGCGAGAGGTAACCATCTTAATACAATGTTATGCTAATTAGCCTAACTATCTTTCTGTTCTTGCTGTGTGTTCAAGAGACAAATACTGAGCGGGATTAGACAGTTGGGTAAAATAAATGACAAAAGGTCCATCCATTTAATCAGGAATCAAACTGAACCTAAGTGGTTACCCCCAGAGTTCGCCTAACTATTTACATGAGTTGTCCTTGTCCCTAATAGAAATGAATGGTCTTTCACAAATCAAATTCAAGCATCTAACAATAAGATTTATGTTTATTTACACGTTGAATGGAACTTATGGTAAATTAATTTAGCTGTCTGAACATTGTGAGTTCGCCTTTTCTTTTGTGTAGGTTAAAGCCAGTTTAGTTTGTATCAGTGATAGAACATGTATATAAGTACAAATTGATCTCAGACGCTACAACTGCCTTTATTTCCAATGACTGTTTATCCTGCTCGATATTTCAAGACTATCACTACCTCAACTTCTATGTACACACCACAGAAAACTCGCGTGAGCTTTCTAGAAGACAAGCCCCATGTCAAGGGCATCATAAACAGCATCACGTTCTTGCCATGGGATGATAGATCATTCGTCACGGGTGGAAATGATCATGCCGTGGTGCTGTGGACTGAGAAAGATGGAGAAGAAGACTTGTGGAAGCCCAAATCGCTGCACAGGAACCACCACTCGTCGGCTGTGATGGGACTTGCCGGAATGCAGCACAAGAATATTGTGATGTCAGCGGGTGCCGATAAAAGAATTATTGGGTTCGATGTGATGACTGGACGGGCAGATTACAGGCACCAGATTGACAGCAAGTGCATGAGTGTCTTGCCCAACCCGTGTGATTTCAACCTCTTCATGGTCCAAACAGGGTACGTGTTTGAGTTAAATTTCCATATTTTGTGGTTTTGGATGGGAATGGTTACTTTTGCTTTTAGTATTCACTAGTATGTACCCCGTGCAATGCACGGGAAATCGTTATAAATTGCATATATTAAATAAATAAAAGAATATTGGTTAATATAAAAATAGTTTTGAATATTAATATTATTATCTTTATTTGATAATATGTAATAATTTAATATACGCTTTATATGTTTATTTCACTTGTTATAAAATAGTTGTCATTTTTTATTTCCTGTTTATAGTTAAGAATAATGAATCTTTAACATATTACGACATTATCAAATATATTATTTCAATTTTTAAATAAGTTATACTAAAGTTAAAAATTATGGCAAATATTATGATCAACCCTCATTGAAAAAGATAGTAATATATATCACTTTGAAGTTAAAATTTTCTTAATTTCTAATTACGTTAATATTATTTTTTCCTTATAATTTATAATAATGTATGTATAATATTTTAATTTTTCTGTATAATACATTTATTTTATGAGTTTTGTTATGATATTGTGAATCATAATATGAATTTTAAAAAAACTGGTTTGTTGTAGTTATTGATAAAATCAAATTTGAAATTGATTTTTTTATTTTGTAAGTATATTTACAATTTAATCTTGCATATTCAAATTATATTTTCTAATAACCTAACCTATTTAATAGACATTTTTTTTAAAGACTTGTGGTATGGTTGGTTGCAAAAAGAATAAGAAATTGCAATGATTCTCAATTAATATGAAAAATCGAATTATTATAGCGATAATGGTCACAAAATAATTTTTAAAATTGTTATTACTTTATTTATATAAACATTCGTACTATAAAATGAAATGCACAATTTACAACACGTGGGCATAATTTGATTATTGTTTTTAATAAATATTAAAGTTATTTTTATGACAATTATTTTTATTAGGACATAAATTTACATGTGGTTTTTCAAATATGCAAATTTTTTACAATCCTAAAAATAATTATATCCGACATTGACTGATTATGAAAAATATGGAATTTATTTAATATTATAGAATTGGAAGAGATTTTTACGTGTATGCAAAAAAATAATGGGAAATAATTGGACCAAATATCACGTTAGATATTGCCTATATTAAATTGAAAAATATTCACATGTTTGCCATTTTTCAAACGCTTCAGAAGAATCATAAAAAGAATATATATATATATGTATATATATATATATCATATATATATATATATGATATATATATATATATATAAGAAAAATGGATACAAAAAATATGGCAAGTAAATAGGACAATCGGAATCCCATACTGTATTCAAATTTTTAACATTATTAGTACACGTATTTATCATTTTAAAATGGACCGACAATGAATCATATAAAGACACATAATCTAATACATATATATAATATAATAAAAATGAATCCTAAAACATAGCAAGTAAATAGGAAAGTTCTAACAATATCTTTTTTTTTTTACTAAAATTACAAACAAACAATCCTAAATAGATGAGTCACGTGTTTTTAAAATATTTCCTTAAATAGAAAGTCAAATAATTTAATTAAAAAGTCAAACTTTCTATTTAAGTATTTTTCCAACAACCTTTCGATATAGATATAGATATAGATATAGATATAGATATAGATTATAAATGTTGAAACTAGCTACGACAGTCTTTTATATATATGTTTGAGTTAAATTATATCGATAGTTGGAGTTGTTGACTTGTTTAGCTGGTTGATATTGCTGAGTGGAAGTTGCTGCAAAGATATTTTAAAGCAGACTTATTATGTTCATTGAATACTTGCTATTGTACTACTGTTGAAACCACCAAAAAAGTTTGTATTCCATGAAATGAACAGTGGAACTAATTCATCACTTTTATTTGGGTCCTAACCGATTGGCACCTTCAGCATGGTCTGTATTTTCTTATATTTTAAATAAAAGGTTGACATCTTAGTTCTTATATATTTGTAAGGCTGTCCTCCTAGCAATATTTGTCTGTGGCACCAATCAATCTACCCTATCTTTAATCAGTTGGATCAACTCAACTTAGTTATGTGAGGATTAATTGAATAGAATTAAGGGTTCTTTTCTCTTTGCATGTGTTTATTATATACCTGTTTCCAGTGAGAGGTTCATTATGAATTTGATGGATTGGATTTTAGTTGAGTGTGAAAGTGTTCTTACTTTGTCTGATAAACGTGTTAATATTCATTATGGAGATGTGTGCTTGGTTGAGAATTTCTATCCTAGAAATATATATACACACACCATTTCACATTTTTTAGGTGGTTGTGAGCTCCGGTCCGGGCTCTTAAGAGCTTAAGCAAATAAAATTTGAAATGCCAGATGGAACAAATGATTTCATTTTTGTTTGCAATAAAAAAAAAAAAACACACATGCAAAACAAATGCAAAGCTCTTATTCACATATGCAAAAACAAATACATTATTACGACTCTACTTATCTTTGAGCAGGACCCCCCAGCGACAAATCCGGCTGTTTGACCTCAGACTGAGGCAGATGGAGATTCACTCATTCGGGTTCAAGCAAGAGAGCAGTGAATCACAGTCTGCCCTTATAAATCAGGCGTGGTCTCCAGATGGCTTCTACATCTCATCAGGCTCGGTGGACCCTGTTATTCACATCTTTGACATAAGGTACAATGCACAAGTACCATCCCAGTCAATAAAATCTCATCAGAAACGGGTTTTTAAAGCTGCCTGGCACTATGCACTCCCTCTCCTCATCTCCATCTCGTCCGATCTCAACATTGGGCTCCACAAAATTAATTAAGTCATTAGTAGCATTTGTACTTTTTTTGTGCTTATTATACTGTTAGTGTCCTGCTTGTGCTCGTACGTACAGCTGGTGGAAATAGGCTGCCAAGTTACGAAGCACTCAAGGATGGCAAAATTTGGTTTTGAAAATTGTTATTATTGTTGTTCGGGAAGAAAGCTTTGGTGATTCACTTGCGTTGTCTGATACGAGTGCGAGGGCCATTTTCTGACTGATGAGCTCTATGATTTTGCTAACCATATGGTAAATTTTGCTTTTGTGGAAGTGTCAAATAATGATTCAAAACGCAGAGAAGATGGGTTGTTTTTATTTGTTTGCTTGTGTTGTAATATTTATTGTGTCACACTATTGAACACTAAGATGGAGAGAGAGGAAGTAGAGAACAAGATAGATGAGGCGAAATTGTAAAGTAGTATCTGTAGTCATTCACATGAGCCCTGTAGATAGAGAAATACAATGTATTTGATGGTAACCTAATAAGGCTTTGGCGCATACTTATGAAACCTATATTTTGACAACATCAATAAAATAATTATTTACAACACCTCCTCATGGATATTACCCAATGTTTCGAAAATTAGACCGGTGGATCTACAGGTTCAATGTTTCATCGCGCTCCGATCGTGGTCTAACTTGTTGGACTTGTAAAAAAATATTTCATTCATTTTATATGTATAATATAAAATTTTATAAAATTTTATTTATTTTATACAGTATATTATAATTTAGGCTATATTATAATTTGAATTACTAAATACTGTCCCCATTTTACTACCTACAGAAATAGTAAAAATTCACACTTTTCCCCTCACTTTCACTTCACTCTGCAGAAAAAAAAACTTCCAAAAAAAAAAATTCAATCCTTCCACCCTTCCAAAAATTCGAAAAACAACCGAAAAAATGGTCGGACGACAACATAGGGGCGGGAAGGGACTCATGATTTCACGGATATGTTATATTTTACACGAATTTTTTTTTTATTTTTTTTATTCTGGAAGGTGGACGACCGTCGATTGCGGCTGGCCGCAATCGCTTGGAAAATGCCGGCTGGCGATTGCGACCGGTTTACGCACCAGCAGTTGTAAAATGCGGCCTCATCTCGCGCGGTCGGGCTGGACATCGCGGTCGCCCCGTCTTTGGCCGCCCGCCTAGTTCGGCCGCCGACCATTTCTTTGGCGGCCCCTTCTTCTTCGGCCGCCGGCCGTTGCTACTGCGGACGCGTGTTTTTTTTTTTTTT